TCCAATACATGAAAAACAAATAAAGATAAAGAAATAGAATCTTTACATCCACCCTTTGAACCAATAAAGATAGGAAAAGAAAATATTAAAGCTACCCCCATCACAACTCTTGAATCTACTAGTAACATAGCCAGACAAGACAGTATGTACACATATATATACATATACATATATGTACACATATATATACATATACATATATGTACACATACATATATGTATACATATATGTACACATATGTACACATACATATATGTATACATATATGTATATATATACATATACATATATATACACATACATATATGTATATATGCAGTGTTATTGAGGCGCGCGCCCCGGGCGCGGGGCGCTTCATCCTGGACGAAATGCGCCCCGCACGCGAGGCGGGGCGCTGCACGCAGCGAGGCGTGCGCCTCGCTCGCGCCTCGCGCGCGCCTCACGTGCGCCTCGCACCTGTGTTATGTAACATACTCTTTCTTCTATTTTTTTAAATAATTTACATAATTACATATTTATATCATGTAATATACTCTTTCTTACTAGTTGCTAATCTATTTTCATCTTTTCATGTTTTACCTATAAAAAGAACACAATAATTAGTAATTTAGTATACTTGTTTGCTAATTGTAACTTCCTTCTCTAATTAGCATGCTAATAGCAAATTATGAACATGTAAATATGTAATTATTACATTCATTCTTCATCTTTTCAAGCTAAGTAGCAAATATCAATTAAGAATACTAACTAGAAAATTATAAACAGTCATGTTTGTTAATTATATTTCTTAATCTTTTTATGTGACAATTTATAAACATATGCTCATAATTGTTAATCACTTAATTTGATGATTTAAATACATGTTTCTTGTATCTTTTTTGTTACTTTAAAAATTCAGTTAGCATAATTTGATGATTTAAGTTGATATTCTCATAATTTTGGATGTAGGTAACTAATATGTTGCTTATATGTTTCTGTCTTATGATGTTGGCAAATATTAGTTTGAGTTATGCGTCTCAATTAGTGAGGCGCGCGTCTCGTTGTGCGCTTTGTGCATGGTGCGCGTAAGGGACCATTGCGCCCCGCATTGCGCTTTGCGCCTCGATAACACTGCCCGTTTGACCTGTTCTCATGTTTAAGGGTTTCTTTATGAACCCATAGAAAGAATTTATGAACCCAAATCCAGTGTTATCGAGGCGCAAAGCGCAATGCGGGGCGCAAAGGTCCCTTACGCGCACCATGCGCAAAGCGCACAACGAGGCGCGCG